ACACACACACACACACACACACACACACACACACACACACACACACACACACACACACACACACACAACCATCTTTGCTTGACTTCAGCCTCAGACGGTGGGCATCAGCAGGGTCTGAGGGGAAACCAGTGCTGAGTCAGATCTGTGTCTTAGTGGTTTCTGAAGGAATGAAACAGTTCGGGACTGGTCAGGAACTGGTTTCTGAAGCTGTGCATCGATTGGCTGCAGACTGAAGGACTTGTGGAGTGTTGGGAGCTGCTGACAGAGGGGATTGGGACAGCAGTCAAACTGAACTCTCAGCACCACAGAGTTAATGATTCCTTCAGTTTATCAGACGCTGTGATTGATTTACGTCAAGCACGGCTCTTCATGTTTATTGATGCAATTGTTGACTTATTTGCCGCACGGAGGCTACTTCAGGTTCTGTCACTGTGGACATGAAACGAGGGCAAACCTGTTGGATTACAGCATTTAACTGGGAAAATTTTACTTTAGTTTTTGGGACTAAGTTGGCTAGAAAGGCATATTTGGGTAAAAATGAAACATTTAGTTGAGTAAAGCTGCTTTAATCAAGTTATATTCATCTATTTTCACAGAAAAACTTGTTTGAAGGTCTCTGAGGCCAAACCTCTGCTCTGAGTTCAGTTTTAAATTCAAACCAGGGTATAATAATATTGTGAAGTCCTTTTTTTTTATCAACAAAACAATTAGAAAAATCAGCACTACTCAATCATAGAAACATAAAATCTGACTTTAGAAATGAATAAATTTGCTCTGGCATRGAAGAAGTGATATTCCAGCGCTGAGCCACGAGGGCTTGCATAAGCTGTTATTTACAGATAGTTATCTGTTGACAAGGTCTTTGCCATGACACTCTACTCACCTATCTCCTTCATCACCTGCAGCCTTTCACTGCCGGCCTCAGACYTGCTGCAGGTAGCACGCTGTCTCCTGTTTCCTCCTCTTATCAACGTGCAGTCGCTGCTGGGAGCCGCTCGTCCACAGAGAGAAACAAAAACACGTCCCCACACAGAGTATATCCACGTCCGAAYGCCTCCATTTCTCCTCCAGCTGCCAGCTTTTTCATTTTTCATTTTCACTGCCTGTCGCCTCTGAGGCCGGGCGTGGAGGAATGAGATGCAGTCATTGAGGAGAAGCTACAAATAGGCAGTGGTTTACAAATGGAGTTTGGTCAGTGGTCGGAGATTCCTATTCAGAAGATAGACAGGACTTTGCTCACAAACTGGAGTTTGAAGTTTCAAAGGGGAGAATCACACAAGTGTTACATCAGGTCTCCGCGATCCTTTGACTTTTAGCCCCGGGGCAGGAGTTTGGGTGACTGATTATACGACAGCTCTGTCTGGCCCGTCAGATTTCAACATGGCAGCCTCCACACAGCCTCATGTCAGCTGGAGCTCTTCTTCACAAGAACCACAAGTAATAGTGATGGACGGGACCGTGCAAACAACACAAACAAAGAGTTTCTGGATTAAACACCAGGCAGTAAAACCTCCTCCAACTCTAAATCAAACCAAAAGCATACAGCAAAACAAAACAACTAAAATAAAAAGTTGCTCCAGAAGAGATGAAGAAAATACATAAAGTTTGCACAAACTAACTTTTTTGTTTGTTTCTTTGGTCTGAAAAGCAAATTGTAAAATGCACACAGAGTTGAATTCCAGTAATCTGAAATATAGTAAAATCTTTGCAACCCTTGGACTCCTGCAGATACTGCTGCCATAAACCCATGGATAAGAACTAATCAGTGTTTTTACAGCTACAGAAGACGTTTTGTTCACACAGAGACAAAACATTTGCTTTTCTTCTTTTTGAGATTTTTAAGAAAACTACCAGAAACATGTAACCTTTTGAGGATAACATTTTAATCCTCACATTATTATTATTTTTATAAACAGGAAAACAGGACGACACAACAACRTCTGGTAATACTAACTTTAGCTTCATAAATGAGTACTGTTCCACCTTTCTTAGTTAATTCAACAAAGTTTTGTGCCGTGTAACACTCATCAAATGAAAACTCATAAAGAAGTCTGTCAGGTGCTGAAATCCCCGTGTCACTGCATGTCTCCACCTTCTGCCACTTATCCACAGTCAGGTGGAAGAGAAACCCAGACCTGCCTCTGTGCAGCTCGTCCTGAGCACCCTCAGACATTCTCATACAGAGTTTGCATAAAAAGAGTCAGGATTACCAATAAGAGAGCATTCTGAGTGCRACCAAAGATCATCACTCTGAAAAGGACACTGATGGTGCTCCATGAGTCACGAGTCAGCCATCTTGTTAGGTGCTTTGTGTATCACTTTGTATTGTTTACTTGTTGAAGCCACATGTTTACACCTTTTGATGCTGTAGGATCTGCACATGTAGAAAAAAGATTTAATTTAATTCATAAAATATATACACATTAGGAAAATTCAATGGAGTGTTCGTCAGCAGAGCGTGAAGCGGCTGGGATGAGAATCAACTCGAAGGCTCCTCCTCATTCGGCCCACAAAATCTGGAAAACCAAGGATGCATCAGAGGATCCTTACCGGCCGAGGAGATCCCAGGATTCAGTGCTCCAACAGCAAAATAAACTGAGAAACCAAGACCATGGAGATTTCATTTTTTACCAAGTCGGCGTAGTTTGGAAATTCATCACTGACCGAAGAATTTGTTTTTAAATGTAATTTTATCAAGTTAGCTGAAGAAATTCATGCTGCATTAAGATATTAAATAAAATGCAACAAGTACTGGTACTGGAGCTAAACCTGAATCATTGTATTTTTTRAAATTTATTTACGTGTAACGTTTTAACTGTTATTCTTCCAGTGTAAAGATGTGTAAATACACATCCCAATGCATTTTAAGTCTGATATGAAACTGATCAGTTTGGTAACGKGGTAGCATGTGGTCACACAAACTTAAATCAAGCCAAGTCTAGACTGTCTCATTTCACAGCAGTTTCATGCAGCCTAGCTGGACTGGAAGGACGTGGCCCACATGGCCCAGGTGGGCTATGTGCTCATGAGGATGCAGCCCATGGACTGAGACACAGACAGAACCGAAAAAGGGTAGAGTGCCTTGTCCRGGTTGGGGAATGGCCAAGGAGGAGTTCATGAACAAACACCAAGTATCTTGGTGTTTGTTCATGAATGAGGGAAGAATGGAGCAGGAGATCAACAGGAGGATTGGTGCTGCGTCTGCAGTGATGCGGGYGCTGTACYGGTCTGTCGTGGTGAAGAGAGCTGAGCCAGACAGCGAAGCTCTCGATTTCGGTCTACGTTCCTACCCTCATCTATGGTCACGAGCTTTGGGTAGTGAGCGAAAGAACAAGATCACGGATACAAGYGGCTGAAATGAGTTTCCTCCACAGGGTGTCTTAGAGATAGGGTGAGAAGCTCAGTCATCCAGGAGGGACTCAGAGTAGAGCCGCTGCTCCTCCATGTCGAGAGGAGCCAGTTGAGGTGGTTCATTTGGTTAGGATGTTTCCTGGACGCCTCCCTGAGGTGTTCTGGGCACGTCCCACTGGGAGGAGGCCCAGAGGAAGACCCAGGACACAAGTATGAATGGATGAAAGAAGGGAACAGGTTTCTTCTTCAGTCAGACCAAACTGAGCAGGTGTACCCGGACAAAGGAACCCCTGCCCAGATCAAACCCAGGTAGAGTTTGACCAGAGCCAGAATAAATGGTCTGTACTTTTATAGCACCTTAATCAGGACACACAACATTCTTTACAGTCTGTGTCGTCATTACCACACAACACTCCCACATCTCTCTATAAAACTGGTCTACATCAATCATTCTATAGAGACCAGTCAGTGCTTTAAAATTCACACAGTGATGGGACACAACAGAAGATTCAGTGTCTTGCCCAAGGTCACTTTGAAGTGTGACAGAATAGCAGAGGAATCGAACCGCCAACTCCCTCATTGGAGGACAGCTGTCCTAACCACTCAGCCACAGTCCCTCACATTAACCCCTTCAGGCCAATCTCAAACAACGTCTCATTAATTAATGTGGATCAAAATGAACTGTGACCTTATTTAACAGTAAATTAGTTGAATTCTTTGATTTGTTATTGAAAAATGACAAATGTTTGCCATCTTTTGTCTTTTGTGATAAAACAAGAGAATTTTTGCCCCACTTAATTAAAGTGAGTGTTTTAACTGGTGGACACCAGCCAACGATGCAAGCAGTAGAATAAAGTTTATTGCAACGAGGARGGATGAGCATTTATTTAAATGATTGTTTTCAGGTTTTACATGCTGTATTACTTTTAAAAATAGACATTTACGTATGATTTTATGAGCTTTTTATTGGGCTATAGGATACCTGAAAATGTATTTTTTAATAAATTAACCATTTAGGACTCACCATTTTATAAGTCCATCTTTATTTTGACATTTTTACATGCTGTAGTAAAATTATTTAGAACATTTTAATGTACTATGCATCAATACAACTCTCATGTCACAACTGTTAATAATATACATGATATTAACCAGTTTTAACTGAATATATTTCTAAATGTACAATGGTGGTTGTTTCTGTTTGAGATAACAGTCTGTGTTTAGAGTTAGTTACTTAATGTACCTGAAGAAGCTAAACCCTCAATGTGTTTATGTCACAACATTGATATTATGGAGGGTATTATCTAGTCTAGGGCCCTTTAAAGAGGACATATCTGCAAAATCCATTTTTTAGCCATTAAATGCATTTTGTTGTGAACTTTTATCTTTAGGAGACAGAAAAGACTAATTTAGTCTCCCCTGGTGCTGCAAAAATATCTTTATACTTTATTTTTTAGCCCACTTAGTTTTCTCTATTTTCTATGATGTTTTCTGAAATATAACATCATAGTTTTTGTGAGAGAACTGCTAAATAAGGTCTGGAATTATCTACTACGGTTTGGTGGTTTTCACTGTCCTCTGGCTGTGGATCAGACTCTGGCTCCAACATGTAAGGCTGAATGGACCAGTCTTCCTTTGTTGACATCTTT